CAACTATCGCTACCGATTCCTCTAGATCTGCCCTTCTTAAGCATCGTTTTATAGCTGCGCTTACTTCATCGCTTATAAAAGGCAACATAAACGGGATTTTGTTTTGGCCAAGCGTTTCGCGTGGGCGCGTCGTTCTCCTTGTAAACTTATCTCGTGGGGTTACTATTTCGTAGCCATTGGAGGTGGCTATTTGCCGGGCCAAGTCGCGCGATTCTTCCTTTAGTTCCCTGGTAGTGCACACAGAGGTGGCTGTTCGAAACATGTTTCTCACAATCGCCCTCTTTGTGTGTGAAGGGTGGGAAGAAAGGAAATGGACAAGGATGTTCTTGTTACTTGGCTTTCGATACCACTTTGTCAGGTAACCGCTACTTGATAGGTTTATTTGGACGTCCAAAAACGGAAGCCAGTTTTCTCTCGGTTTCTCCCGGGTGAACTTTATGTACTCGGACTGCTCGTTTAATAATTCGAAGCATTTGTCCATCTCCTCCTGCGTAGAGAAGACGACAAAACAATCATCTACATATCTGCAGTAGAGTAGTGGCCGGAGATCGAGAACAGTTATTGTTGAGGACGAACCGTTAAGGTACTTGAATCGGTGGTGGATGCCCCTCGTTCAGTTCAAAAAATCATCATGAGGTGTGGTGCAAGGTCACCTGTGATCAAATTGCTCTCCTCCCTACGGTTTCCTTCTGGATTTTTGAAATTTATCCAGTGTTTCAAAAACTTTATGCGACGATGTGATCGATTCCTGGGCAGGGGTAGTGACTTTGACTTCAGAATCTTCTGCATTGCCTTTGTGCCCAATCCACGCCCAGTAGAGTATCTTGATTAACCTTAAGTTTGCATACTAAGTCGTTTTCCATATAGATATAAAGTGGTCCATTAATTTCGCAAACGTATCCGTCCCCACATATTTTGCAGCATAGTAGATACACCGTCCTGCGACTCAAGCACACCGTCTCTAACGTTATGGCAATTTATGCAATTTTGCGTTGTGCGTAGTCGCTCATATAAGCGGTCGCGAACTAGTTGACGTCACAGACTTCCTCGGTATTAACTTGGTAGTATTTCAGTCATCATCGATTCAATAGGAATTCAGCCGTTTTTTTATTTCTAACCATTAATTGTTTCGCACCACTGTTAGTTAAAAAGGAGTTTCATATGAATTATTTACGATTGGTATCAGTTAAGGTGATCACTCATATCAACGAAACACTGAATATGATCACTCTAGTTTTCCAGTCTTCAGCAACTCCTGTTAAAAGAGAAATATCAAGGGTGAGTAAGCTTGTTGGTAGTTCGACATTCAGTGGACCATATTAGGTTGCTCTTTCTCCTATTTCCAAAATAAGAATTTTCACCATACACAAGCATATTTTTTAAGAGGATACACGGTGCTACGCAAACTGGTCGTCATTTCGAGGGTCCTGTGCAAACATTTATATCACAAACCACTGACCTTTGTCATGAAATTGATCAGGTGAGTAATATAATTGACAAAAAATTTATCATGGTGATAATTGGGGGCAGAGACGACTTTGTTGAAATGTTTTTAGAATCTGTTTTTCAGGCCGCTTGTCAATTGTCGTTGTTGGGTTTGGCAGACCCTGCAGAAGCGGATAGTGTTTACACAAGGATGATGGCGGTTGTCAGCGATATCATTAACAATGCAATGCAAGCCGATGAAAGGACGTCTGTCCACGTTGCTTTTTAGTGGAAGCGCCGTAGGATTTTAAAATTTTTATGTGCATTTGCATAGAGTGGATATCGACTTCTTCGTGGTTACCTTTTTCTATTTGAGAAGGTAACAGCTCCAGCAATAAGAGCGGTTTTTAACTTGTTATTGTAGTGATAATTGTGATCCTCTTGTTCATATATGCTGTCACTGAAGAAAACATGAGCGCCTTCTTGCCGATCGATATGCGAGAAAGAGTGTAATCCATATTTCATCATCAGGTTAAGTCAAGACGAGACAAGAAGGGCGCTCGTTGATATCTTCGGTTATTCATGATTGTTGATATTCAGATGTTATTGTTTCTGAGTAATGAGCTGAAACGCTTCAAAATCTGTTCTTCACGACGGTCCTATAGGGCGGACGTGTTGATTACCTGCAGTTGGTTTTTTTTTCTTTTTCGAGAAAGGACCGGTATTTTTTTTTACGCATTGCCTTAAGTAGCTCTTACTATACGACTGTTCAGAAAGGTTTTTATTGTAACAAAGTGACGTGTAGTGTATAATTTATATAACTTGCACAGTCGACAGCTATCGTTGACGACGACATCGGTGACCATTCATTCTGCAGTAACTGTACCAGTAATTCAGGCTTCGAAGCCTAAGTTATGACCGAGTCACCGATGGCTACATTTTTAGTGACGGTTTTCGTATGCATTATAACAGCTGTGTAATTTCTTCACTTCATAGTTCGTCCGTTTCTCCTCACTTTTGCGTTCCCATCTACACAAAGAATTCTATACATTTTTCGCCTCTTTCAACTTTTTTCAAGTCATTCTCTCCAAATCGCTTTTTTCTTTTCGACATCTCTGGAGCTTTCGATAAAACTAGGAATTGTTATATGCACAAAAGCGGCGCTTGGCGTAGGCTTCATATCGTTTCTCCAACAGCTATTTTACGCTTTTTTTTTTTTTGAAGATTCTCATTTTATCATGAGTGGTACACGTGTAACTCTATAGAACTACCGCGTATTCTTGTTTAATGATTAGCTTCCGTTCGTGCATGGGTAGTAGTGAAAAGCGCTGGGCGCTCTCTATTATCCCGGAAGTTGCTGCTGCCTTCAACAAGTGTCCTCGTTATAATGTAGTGATAGGCATGAAGTTGTATGGTTTGGCCTAGGTAGCCTTGTTTTCCGTGGTTTTGTTTAGAATTATTGTTCACGTCATCTCGGTTCAGCTAATTTTTCTAGCTTTATAAGTTACCCGTGTATTCTTTGCTCATGCCTGTACTCAGTTTTTGTACAGATATGTTTTACTGCTGCTTCAAAATTTGTTTATTACAGATTTCTGATAAATCATACATATTTACGAATTGCCCTTTATGTCATTCTGAGTTACATTTTTGATCCTTATGCTGTTCATTAGGCCCTTTAAAGGGCGAAGAGCCTTGGAAGCAAATGTAGATCTTTTAGAAATATAGTGGAACAATTTTTGTTGGTGAGTAATTTAGTTCTATGACATGGTTCGTATCACAACAACGAAAGTATGTTTAGGGAGGTGTTTAAACCCGTTCAGTTTTCTAAGTTCCAAAGTTTACCAGGCTTGTGCTATCACATGTGAAATTATCGTGGTTGTCCATTCGAAACAGAGAATTGCCAAATGGTTACCATTAGAGTCGATTCACAACTATGGCAAACTCTTCATCAGAAATAGCAAGGCAGTTGGTCTCCATCCTGAAAGTATTCTACGAAGCTTCAGTTCAACATATACGCGAACGTGACCGTTTTGAATAGATAATTTGCCAGTCACTGAAGTATGAGTCCAGCATTTCATAGACTTCTAAAAGGAGATTTGGTCTATCTTCACGTTGATATGAATTTACTATGAATTATTCTTTTGATTCTAAATTGACTTAGAAGTGGAATTTTTAAAAATTCAGAAATCAACAGATGCAAATGTAAGTAGTGATTTTGTGAACACCATTTTGCTCTGCTGTGTGATAAATATAACGCTTGTTCACTTCCACGCTTGAAACACGAACCTTCACGCAAAAAAGTTTTTCGGGCTCAGTCAAAATTCTCTCTTTGGTAGAACAAGTCATTTGGTATCTTACTAGCAAAGTTATCCTTAGATTCTATTTGTTGTTATTCAAGGTTATTTCTGCAAACAAGAAAGCCGAACTGAATGATGGGGGGATGCGGTACTGGCACGTAGGTTACTAAAAATTAGGTTTAGGGTTGGAATCTTAGGCATAAAGTCGTTTAGTTGCATGAGACTGATGTTTCAATTAATTTTCGAATGTGTTAGCAATAAAAAGGAGATTTTCGCAGATTTTTGCTTGCACATTAACCAGCTTACCTTTGAATGTCAACAGCCTGTCTGGTCGAGTTGGAGTCAATCTTGATCGAATGTTGCTTTGCGAGTACTCCTCGTCTTTTAGAGTTCGACCTCTGGATATGATAGATATCTTATGCAATACTTTCCGCTTCGATAAGAATGTCCATATTAAGAGTATTCAACTATGTGAAGTCAATATGTATTCTTTCTTGATAAGCTTGCACGAGGTTGATAAATAAATTTATCAACCTCGTGCAAGCTTATTAAGAAAGAATACATATTGATTAGTCACACCGAGGTTTAGAGAAAGTCGGTTTCGAAATATTATGTGAAGTCATTTTTCGAGAAATAAATTGGAAGTAAAGATTTTCATGGATATGACCCAGAAAACGTTCAGGCAGCAATTTGAATTTAACAAAAACTTGGGTGCTATCTTATAGAGGTAAAAAGTTCTCTCCACGTCAAGTAAGATATTTTCTTAGTGAGTACTGAGGGGTAGTCGAACGTGTTTTTTCGAGTGATCCCACATGGTCGCTGTAGTGCCTGCTCAGGTCCTTTTAGCTCAGCAATCTTAGCCCTTGTGAATTATAAGGTTCTTCGGAAACTAATGTACGCTTTGTGCCTGTATTTTCAAACTGGCAGCTCAGAATAGGTCTTCTCGATACGGTGAAAAACCATTACGATTTAAACACTTTTGCCAACGAGAAACAAGTTTATTTGTTCCACTTGCTACAATTCTGGACTTCTGAAGGCGTTGAAGTCTCACTGAAGGTAGCTTAGTGCTCGGTTTAGTTTATGAAGCATTTCTCGCATTGGAAGTTGTAGAGGTACCCAAAGAAGCGGTAGACGCTAGGCGTGAGGTCCTGTGAGTATAGTCGATGAGGCAAAGTTTCGTAGCCCAGCTCGTCCAATTTTTGCAGCGTCGGTAGTACAACATGTAGCATTGTATTATTGTGCAGAGGGATAGGTCCATTTACGTCGACCAATGCGGGCAGCTGTTTAGGTTTCTGGTGTGTTTCGTCGATGTGCTGAATGTAATTCTGCGCCGTAATCGCTTCACTTGGGTTCAGGAAGCTGTGATGGATTAAACCAGCAGCAAACGACAAACCGTCACCACCACCTTCTTTTGGTGAATTTGGAAAGTGCTGGAGAGTTCCATTATGGTCGAGCCAATGAGACAATTATCGCCTGTTATCACAGGAGATCGATTTCTTGTCACACATCGCAATACGGCCGAAAAACGGATCGGTCTGGTTTCGCAGAACAAGTGCCGACGAGACGTGCGGCATCCACTTTTCGAGCTTCTTCGACTCTCCAGTCCAGCTACATGCTCCAAAATAGTTGAGCTGCTTCATTGAGTTCTTCTAAAAATTCTAGAATAGCTGTGCACGCATTTGCTTCAATCGAGGCCATCATTAGCTCGTCGCCAATAGCAGAAGGACGTCTGCAAGTTCCCCTATGTTCAAGGTCGAATTCGCCACGACAAAGTTTCCCAAACTAATATTGCGCTGTGCGCTCGTTAACACTTCCTTAGTTTCACATTTCTTTAATGTTTCCAGCCGTTTACGCTGCGTATGTTTAAGTTCGAATTCATAGAAGTAGAGTAGAAATTCCAAATCGGGTGTTAATTTCCAAGCGACCTAATGAATGAAGGTTTACTACCATCTTTTAGAACAACATTCGAGGAATCTACTAAGCCGAACAAAATCTTCATTGGGTTGTAAATTTTCTCGTCTGACTCAGATTCATCCTGCTACTTTAAAAATTCCTATAAAAACAAAAAATGACGATTTATAATACACTTGAAGTAGCTAAGAAAGGTTTCACAGTTGTGTTACCTCTGCTCCGTTGTTCACTGTGTTCGCCGGTTCTCTGCAGCTTGGAAGGATTTCGATCATAGTGTGTGAAGACTGAAATCGACGTCGTGTGAGTCCTTGGCATGGTTTTTCTTACTCTTTTTGTTTAACAAGAAGTTTTTTTCTAGTGTATTGAGCAAAGCAAAAAAATACCTCGCAACAGTTTACCGCCACATCGTGGCTAGGAGGTGTTTCTGGGTGTCGGGCTGCGGTGTACAGCGGGCGGGTTCATCACCTGGCGTGGTCTCCCAAGCTGTGAAGGAGTCTGGCGTTTCTATCACGATACTCAGCTAACAGTAATAGTAAACCAACACTAGGATCCGTCACCATCCTGCTACCAAACTAGGTGCGTGGTGGCAAATCTCCAAGGGCGGCAGCTGCGTGTGGTTGGTGACGACCTGGGACAGACTTTGACCTTGCTGACCTCGTGACTCCAAGAAACCACAATGGCTAAACCAGCAAAACTCGGAAAAAGTGGAGATTATGCTGGGGCTCGCACAACCAATGAAGACGGGCCATCCAAGTAACCAAGTGTTAAACAAGACATATGTGACGCAATGGTATATGAGTACTTAAATGGATACCGTACCTCCACGTGGATACCGTAAGGAGGTCAAATGGGTGGACAGAAAACCACTCTCACGTCGTAATATCAGTCTGAGGTATTCCGTGAGATTTCGCTTGGTAATCGGACATTCCTCCCTGCGGTTCGTTTTCGGATTCTTGGAATCTATCCAAAAAGCTTTAGTTTTTCTGCACTGAAGTTTTCGATTCCTATGCGAAGTCGATGACATTTCCTTCAAAATTGTCCCCATTATATGCCTCTATCCTTTACGCGCCTAACGGAGTATTTGGTTTACTTTACTCTTACCTTATAGGTGTTCTTTTAGACGAATATATATATACTCCTTTCGCTAAGGTAGTCGTCTATATACGCTTTACGAGGGATCGGGTAGACAGGACCAGAGCTCGTGCAGTCACCGTCCCTAGTGGTAAGATATGCTAAAGAATTTTGCACTGTGCATAAATGGCTATACAGGCGATTACTAACTGGCGTCCGATTTCATAGAAATGGACTGTGGTATTTCAATCCTTCTTACCGAATAAATTCTGTAGACCGGCCATTCTTAAGCAACGTATTATAGTCGCACTTATTTCGCTAAAAATAAATGGAATAATAAACGGGACCTTATTCTCGTTAGAAATATTGTAGGCGGCTTGCTGTTTCCTCTAACCTCCCCCAAGGGGCTACAGTTTCGTGGCCATTGGAAATGGCTATTTACCGCGCCAGTTTCACGGATTCTTCCTCCTATTCTCTTCCTGTGCACACATTGGTAGTTGTTCGAAACACTTTTTACTAGCACCCTTTTGGTGTTTGAGAAGTGAGAGGAGAGGTGATGAACCAGTATGTCTTTGTTACTTGGCTTTCAGTACCGTGGTGTAGCCGTTTTCGGATAAGTTGATTTGGACGTTCAAAAATGAAAGCCAGTCTTTCTTCCGTTTCCCTCGGGTGAAATTTATGTACCCTGACTGTTGGTTTAGCAATTCAAAACATTTTTTCATCTCCTCTAGCGTTGAACAGATGACAAAACAGTCGTCGATATACCTACAGTGGAATATTGGTCAGTGCTCAATTGCTAGAGCTTCTATTTTAGACACAGATGCAATAGTAAGGCTTGGTGCCAGTCGCTGTCCCATTGGCAACCTTCTCATTTTGTGCGAAGTGCTTCTCAGACTATTAAGCAATTTAAGCATTTTTTAAGAGGGATATTGCACAGATGCTGCTTATGCTGTAGATATTGCTTATTCACAAAAGTAAGAAGCTTTTTCTGAAAATTGTTCGAAAATACGATGGCATAATTCTATCTTCATATTTATTGGCATATTAGAATCTCTTTTTGTATGTAGCACCCTGAAAATCGTCTTGTACATTTTCCACTTGTAATGTACACGATTCTTCCTGGCTCCTTGTTGAGTACTTATATATATCTTAATAAAATGGTCCGACCTCTGATTCAGTCGACACTCACGTTTTTACTGGATAATAAGGGATTCCTCGCTTAAATTTTAGACACTAATATACAAATTGCTAATGTAATGCGAGAGAAATTACCGTAATATCAGCATTCTTTCTCGACTCCTCTAATTTAGTGATGTTCGATATGGACTGAGTGCCACGGTTCTGGTTCTGAACTTCAGTCGCGATTTTGGCTTTTAATGCATTAAGTCTAGGAGGAGCAATTGGTTGGTAGGTGTTGCTTGGGTAGATCCGCTGTGTGTTTAGTTGAGCCGATAGCAATGTGTTATCACTGTGTTCACTGGGAACTTCATAACCATCGGTTAGGAGGAAAGTTGGAACATCGTACATTTCTGAATCCTCACGTTCCGATTTTGATGGTGAATTCGTACTTCCGTTTCGTTCTAGCGATTCTGATCGTGACGGCGCCATATTAAATTTATTATTTCCAGTATGGGACTTGTTATTAGCGACCCTAATCGTCGGAGGAGGATGAGGTAGTGGAGGCGTAGTCGGTTGAAAAGAACACAGTCTTGTTGGAGGAACAGCTGGAAATTTCATTTGTGATTCGTATTCGATTCTTGAACTCATCATATTTGATTTTGCTGGTTCATCCATGACGGTCACCAAAATATTCTGCTTTCCATTCTTCTCGAGTTTTGGTTCTACTTTGGTCTTTTTTCCTATTGCAGCATAATTGTCGATGCTCTTCTTTTCTTCTTTCTTCTTTCCAAACATATTTAGCTCCAACCATCGTTGTTTTTCCTAAATTATATAAGGTCAAGTGACTGTAAAGAGGTTTCTCAACAAGGCATTTATAGTTTTACGATAATCTAATCAGTAGACAATTAATTAAGAAATTATGTTTCTTTTCTATAAGGTCGGTCATCTCACTGAATTCATGTCATTGTCAAAATTTTTTTGTATGTTGCTTGCATTACTATTAAACAGCAAATCAGCAAATTGTTCACTTCGTACAATTTGAGAATGTCAGAACATGGACGCCTTTGAAGTATTCATATAGGATAAATATAGGATAGAAGGGTAAAGCTCTAGACATTGGTCCATCTTTGAGGGATGTGCTATGCCTTCGACTTCATTAAGCATCGTTAGTGGTGCATATCTTGCCTTTACGATGACTCGAGGTGGCCTACCGATGTATCGATCCAGTACTGCTATCCTGCCAAAGAATTCTGGTATATCAATTTGCCGACCTCGAGGAGATGAAGGCCGTGGTGGGCCTGGACCGCGTGGTCGATCCCAAGCATATTGCGGTGCGCCCTCGCCCATCGCGCCACGCGAGCCCCATATTCATGTAGGATAGAAATGAAATACTTGATAAAATTTACTGCAAATGTATGTTAGCTCTGTCGCAGTGGGTACAAGTATAGAACAAAATACTTGAAAGAATTTGAGAATGTTAGAACACAGAAACCTTTGAAGTACCTATCTAGGATACAAATGAAATACACGATAAATCTAGTGTAAATGTATGTTATGTATAATAATGTGTACTATTAGAGAACAAAAACGCTGTAGAGCTTTGCAAAATTGATGAACACGGAGAAGATTATACCCGTGCTTTAAGTCTAGAATGAAAAAGCAAGGATTTGTTTACTTTTTAACTGCCAGTTAGCGCGGATAGGAAAGTCCTTGATTATCTCTACGTCACTTAGAGCCTCAGTTTTTGACCTAAACTATGATATGTCGTTCCAAAATGATGTGAAAATAGATCAGTCAAACTTGTGATTTTTGGACAAGAAACTCATTGCAAGCACTATGACTGGAAAATTTAGCTTCACACTTTCCATCCGCATTTACTCCGCTATGGTAGAATGATTGGTATGGGTATGAACAAATGAAAAACCACACGAATCTATGATGATAGTGTTCTTATCACTAACAATGTATCCGTTATTACTATCTCTAGAACACGTTGCTGCTCAGCTTTCAGTCATTATAGTACCAGATACAGTTAATGCTTTATTCGCCAAAGAAACGGCCTTATTGTGGTGTGGAATGGCCATAGGACTTAGGAGTAACGGTGCCAAAGGCTGAAAGCATGTATTGCACTCTTTCAACCTTACCCAGATTTCTTATATTCTTGTTGAACAAGTCTGAGGTGTTATTCATTCTTTATTCACTATCAAGCTGATGTTTCGGCGGATTTTGTCTTCCTCAGGGTCTGGAAAGGTCAAGTTGACCGCAATCTACCCAGCCAAACATCTCCAAAACCAAACAAAGAAAGCGCTAAACCAAGATTTCAGTCATTCCTCACTTCATGGTTTTTTTTCTCTATTTGGCGATGAAGATGTTTGACTGGGTAGATTGCCATGAACTTGAGCCTTCAAGGTTCTGAGGAAGGCGAAATTCGCCGAAACATCAGCTTCCTAGTGAATAAAGAATGAATAACACCTCAGGTTTGCTCAACAAGAATTTAAGAATTATTTGATCAATGCCGAGGTTAATAGAAAGTCGGTCGTGGGAATTACCCAGATTTGTTTACTGGGGTAAAATTTCGATCAGATATGAACCTCGTTTTCAATTCCATAGTGCGTTTGGGACGAGTTTTTTTTTCAAAAAACCACTATATTTCAATTTTTTCAGAGTTATGAGACTTATCGTACATAGCAACCTTTTGTTTTAAAAGTCATCTACTAGTGAAAGTGAAAAGTTATAGATATTTGAGTAGATTTTTTAAACACTAGAAATATCGTTACATCTTATTTCCCCGAATTTCGAAGAAATCTGGAAGATTTCCTGCAAGCTACAAATACCAATCCTTAGCAGACAGAGAATATTTCTTTGTTTTGAAGACTGAAGAGATGGAAACAGTTTCTCAAGGAATTTTCTCTTTGGGAAGAACAGAGCTTCGTACACAACTACGAAACAAAACCAACCTTACTGGTTGGTTTATCGTAAACCTCTTGATGATCGACAGTCTTCTTTGTCGGCCGGTATTCGTCGATGAGACGACGGAAGGCTGATAAGTCCCGATATGCATCCTTCGTCTTTAGGCGTTTCCGAAGTGCATTACGAATATCTCGCATAGCCTGATATGTACAGATAAACTCATGACACTTAACAAATAGTAGCTTTGATGCTACAATTAGTACATTCAGTCTACTTGTGCTTCTTACCGGGAACAACCATTTTTAATTTTTCTCACCTAATCGTGAATTTTTTGGTAACACGGTATCTTAACGTTCCAAAAGACAAAAAAGATCACGAACTAGAAAAGTATCGGTTGTAAATAGTTACGGTTTAATGTACGTTTAAAATCCGTTTTCTTCTTAGCAAGCACGCACAGGGTGTTGTTACTCTTTACTCACATCGAATAACGTTTCGGCGGATTTCGCCTTCTTCAGAGTTTGGAAAGGTTAAGTTAACTGCACCATAGTCAGCCAAATACCTCCATAACCTCAACAGAAAAGCCACGAAACCTTGATTTCAATCGCATTGGAAACAAAACAGCTTCTTCAAACACTCACCGCTATGTATGAGTGTTCTGCTTAGTATTCCATATGGAGACCAGCCGTACGAGATTACATGGTAGTTTAATGTGCCACTCTCATGTTAAAATGTCAGTCTGAGATATTTGTGAGAACTCGCGTGATAACGAGACATTCTCTGCTTGTAACGGCTGAAGTTTTAGATTCTCGTGATGGGTTGGTCATTTCTACATCAAAATCTTCCCGGTTATATGTCTGTGTCCCATGTCTGTCTGTATGTCTGCGTCTTTGTTCGGGGCGAATATAGTGGGGAAATGACTAGGCCATTATCCATCTCTGTAAAAGAACACCTAGATGGTAAGCGTGAAGTTAAACAAGATACTCCATTAGGCGCGGATTGGACACAGACACATAATGGGAGAATTTTGAAAAATAAGTCACCATCCTCGCACACGAATCGAATACATCAGCACGTAAAATCCTCGAAGCACTCTGGATAAACCGCAAAAATCCAAAAATGAAGCGCAGGGACGAATACACTAATATTTTGACGTGGCTTGCTTTGGCTCATTATCTTGCCATGTGAACTCCGCACAGTTAGTCTCCACGTGTGAAAGTGCCCATAGAGAGCAGTGATTGTGTGACGAGGCTGTTTCATATCCAGTGTGGTTGAAAATTACTTTTGTTGCCTTTTCACTTTCGTTATGAAGATGTTTGGCGGACTAGAACGCAGATATCTTGCCCATTCCTGCTCTGAAGAAGGCAAAGTCTGCCGAAACGTTAGTTGCTGTGAATTAGTAGTGTATAGTAACGTACTTGTGTGTGCTTGTCAAGAAAATAGCGAACTATTTGCCAGTGCCCAGGTTGAAAGGAAGTTTGTGTTGGCAACTGGAGTTCAAAATGTTAGGTAGCTAGTGGATACCTAACGACTAGCGAGTTGCAGGATTATTGTTTTAGTCTCTTAAGACTAGTTTTTTTTTACACGACCCTCCTTCCACATCTATTGTGTAGATTCTAGCACTTCTTGCATTGGATTTGCTTCTCGCATTCTTTACCCACGAACGATTACCAGATTTTTGCGTGTGGGTTCGACTGCTACTAGAACATTTTTCCCTCGTCATGAATGTCGTTGAATACTGATCGGGTCAGCTCTCCTTGGAGTGCTGAGATAGCCGGATTAGGGCGTTATCAATTACGTTGCAGAAAATGGAATTTCCCCAGATAGATCTGGTACCAATGTCCCAACCTCGATGGGATGAAGGGCCTTGTCGGTCCAGGAGGGCTAGAACCAGCACCGTGATCATGATCGTCGGGATTACAACCACTGCTCTACCAGGCTCCTATTCAAGTATTCGGAACCAGTAGAGTATTCTTTCCTAAAATTTCTGCAAATATTTACGTGAAGATTCGCCTTAGCATGATAAGATATTGAACGGTGCTAAATATATCAATTTCTTTGACCAAAGTTAAGTCGGAAATAGTTCAGTAATATCTTATTACCCCCTTCACTAACCAATGCCAAACTATCCTATCAAGATACTACTTGTGTTGGCATCACCATCCAACAACCTATATGTGCGACTGAAGGTTTGATTCATATACATGGTTGTGAAGAATCAATTGCTAGGAATATAAATTTGATGTTGAGCTACCCTTTTCTAACGCTAATTTGATAATTATATTCGCCACAATAATTTTTTCTCTTACCCTATCTAATGCGCGTGGACCACCTCTGTTTGAGCTACCGTAGGAATGTAGGTGAACATCTCGCGCCACAAAAAAGATAAGAGAGTAGGCCATCGACTCAGTGGAAAACAAAGAAACGATTCATCTTCACGTGTTGAGTGCGGTTATTATCACTGAAAGTCAAGAGAGCGAGGACGAGATTGTTCACTGTGAAGAAGGACAAAATTGGGGTTGAGTTGACCGATGACGCTTTTATCACCAAATAAATGTTAAGCCAAAGCCAGAACGAGATAAATACGAATGCGAAAGTCGTCTTTTTTTTTCCTTGGCAGGGTGTTTTTTTTGCACTACTCTTTCACAGTATTGGAACAAATACTCCATAGATATCTTAAAAAGCGACTTTCATTAAAACTTCGAAGCAATAATCAATGATTTTCTGCATGATTGAGCTGACAATCAGCTCAGGCATTCAGAAAACCACTCCATAGATATTTTTCTAGAAGTTAAAAAATGATAATCAAGTACATTATCGACGTCTACTGCCGTGGCCGAGTAGATATTACACAGTTTCCAGAGGTTGATGCACTCCTCCTTTTTGAAGTCGATTTTCAGCAGATGTCGAGCACATTTCATACGAGCTCGGCTAAGATCCTCTAGCTTCTTCACTGGAAGGTCGACCCTAAAAATACTATCTTGACCTTGGAATGCGAAATGCAGAAATATGGGAACAAATTAGGAAGCGTGAGATACCTTTCAGGTATCATCTTAATTAGGCTCATCGGCTTTTAAATCTAATCTATTTGTTATCTATGAAATTTTCACCTAGAAATAGTAGTTCTCATATGAGTCGGATTTTCTACATAAGAAACAAACATTTCTAGCTATCTACATGTTAAGCAAAATCAATGAATCGAAGTTTTAAATCGAGTTCGAACATTCGAAGTTTTACCGTAATGAAACTCAGTATTGGAACAACGCGACAGAGTTGAGTTCAAGACAACTAGTAAGTCTCTAGTGGTAGGAAAGAATTTCCCAAAAATACAAGGATTTTGGAAACGTTTTTTGTTCACAAAGAATGAGTACTTTAATATTCTTCTACAACTGTATTTCGTGTCTTTTCTGCAACCAGATGGCAGTTCAACGTACTGCGAGTTTTATTCCGGGGATAACAAAAGGTTGTACTAAGCAAAGCTACAACTACATCTGAGCAAAATTTAATTCACACAATCTAAGGGCAAATATCAGGCCAACTGAGGCTGGAAGTGTTCTTTTTCTTAAGTTGGATATTTCACTACACAAGTAATTAATATGTATATATACATATATATGTATATGTATATATATGTACATACCTGTATTTATACATGTATATGTATATATATATATATGTACATAAAGAAAAGAATGCGCTGATATTCCATTTAGCACAACGGTTCGGCGACAGGACTAGCAATGTCTGAGCTCGGATTTGGTTGCTGTTCCAGAAAAGAAATTTTGAAGGTCGTTGTTGAATCATTGAGTAAATGTGCCAACAACCTGCACCAAACAGTTCTGACTTGATAACAACACTTTTCACGAAAGGTTGACCTATGTTTTTTATTACAACTTGAATGTGTTCTTCAAAATGATGAAATCAACTCTCTACACCATACTGATTGTAGAACTAGAACTGGATTCTCGAGAGCACCCGAATTGACCATCACTTTCAAGTGGGGTTGTTTCAAATGTGATGAGTGATCTGAACAAATCAGTTTCAGATCTGTAGATAGATAATTACAGTTTTACGTTTAACACTGTCATTTAGGCATTAAAATGAGGAATGAAGAACCTTTTCAAGTAGAAGATCATTTCTTGAAAGGTTCACAATGAGATAAAGAGGAGCACTGCTGTTACCAATAAGTTAACAAGAGCTTCTGCCAATGAATTTCATTCATAGTATTAAACGATCGTTTCTATAAGACATCATTATTCTTGAACATACGACTCATACTTACTTATTATACTTTAAAGTTCAAATCAATATCAGATCCCTCCACTGACAGTCCCCTCTCCACCTTTAAATGTGGTTCTTAATCAAAGGAGTCACGTAGACAATTTTCATGGAAAAGAATATTTATCGATTTTAACTGCTTCCTAGACGCGATCGAAACAACTATTGGTTTCGTGAATGGTCGGGTCTGATTTCTCGGCGTAATCGTATCGTGCCAGCCGCCGGCAAAGCATTCACTGTTCGGTTTAGATAAGAAAAAAGCATGACTGGTAGGAAAACCACGAGGCAAAAAACAAGCACATTGAAGCACCTGGAATTCGTGAAACACTCGATGATTTCTAGTATTTCCTTGCCATATTTTGCCTCAGACTGCGCTCTAAAAATCCTGAAGTACATTTACGATGGAACATGGGAACTTCGGTAAATTGGCTAAGTAGGCAGCAACACCAAGTTGCATTTACAGCAAAAAAAGTCTTTTAGTATAAACGAAAACACAGAAGAAAACGAACAAACGATGAGCGAACTCAGTCAGAGAGTAGTCACCCTGCCCCATCGTCGTGGGATAGCCGAATGCTGTGGTCGGAAACTCCGCCCTATGATTCGCCGTCCATAGAAGGGCTACCTGATCTAGCAGTAACCCTTTTACCCATTGGCCCAATTTTAGAGAACCTTCAATTAATAGCGTTATAATTTACCACAACACTCTCTTACCTTTGAATATGAAGATATTTGAACATACGACTACGAAGAATAGCTTCCTCATGGAGTGATGAGTGGAGAAGGTTGTGAATCAACCAAGACAAATATTGGAGATTCCTACGAACCGGACTATTATTATGACCAAACCAGTAAGGTTTTTGCCGCTTCACTAAACGCAAGACTGTTAGTGATGTGTTCCTGTTCTCTAATGTAGTTATGGTGTTAGAGAGTCACACACGTACACATACACATACATAAAACAGCGTTACGTCATCCCATCATCGCTAAGATGAGTTATAAAAAAGCTAGTAAACATTTCGGATTACATTATGTTTATCGACATGCCGATATCTAAAGTTGCGGCAATATCTAAAATTTCAGCATGGAACATCCTAAATTCAAGAGAGCAACCGTACAGGTTTCACTCGTTTTTCAAGCTTTCATCAGAAAACCACACTTCGAAAAGTCATTGAAATCTACGTAAAATGTGCTTCGTAACTTTTCCGAGTACTGTTTTAACAAAAGAGAAAAGCAAGCTAAAACACATAAGGTCTCAATACTTTCTAAGATGCGACCATCACCTAGCCAACTATCAACAATAATCGTCGTTTAAATCCAATAAAAAAATTGGGAATGCCAGTGAGGTTCATATTCAGACGGTGCTCCACTCCAGAAGATTCGGCCCGACACATTGGTTATGGACAAACCATCTACCGGTCTGTCAATTCTGAAAAGACGAAGGTATCGAAACACCAGCCAAATAAAGCTTGTATGAGAACCTCGTATAAGCTAAACAGTTTGAAAAAAGGAACACAATGTTCCAGTTCATGATCGTTTGGATGATTGACCCAGTTCAATACCGATTTTCGATTTTTTGCATCTTTCTTCACTATTTACTTTTCATGAAATCGAAAGGTCAATATCTTCTTATAATGAAGCTACGATGAATGGCTCCGTAAATCTTCCTCATTGAAGACGTTCTTCAAGATTTAAAACGTTAGGCATTAACTTAAGGATTGCTTACAAATGGCGTAGACATAGAATCCAGCCGGAATGATTCGTCGCTGACCACCGTATTAACCGACGATGTGCGGGAGTACCAAGGAGTAACTAATCAAATTTTGCAATTTTAGCAGCTTCTATTAAACCATCACCTCAGCTTCAGTCTTAACTTGGCAATATTTCCTCTCTGACGAGAACCCCTCAACCGACTCTAAAACCATATAGGATGCAGCGTTAGAGGTTCAACAAAAAACAAGATCAAAAATTTCTGTCAGTTTCCCGTAGTTTCTGTCAATCCAGGTAGGACAGCGTAGTTGTAGGGTTGAGTCTTTCATTTTTTCAAACTCCAGAACGTCGACCTGATCGCCCAAAGTGAAGAGCAAAGCGGATCTTCGATAACAGACGAAGCCAGCTGCAATCACCGCGGACTGCTACCGCTTCTTCCACTTCATCTAGGAACTCTCGTATATCTCAACGATTACTTCATATATTCATGACTGTAGTAGCTATCACAAACTGCAGATTCTCGAGCAGAGTGGAGAACGATTTCAAGCGATCAGACGTCCCAATTTTTTTCATTGCGTTTGAGGGCTCGGCCTTTCGTTGATTGATTGACGCGCATCGAAACCACAAAATTGTTGCGCTCAGATCTTTGTCGTTCTCCCGAGACGCTTGGAAGCGGTAGAGGATTTCGAATTCGAGCTAACGAAGCAAAAACGAGACACCGGCTGCTAGCAATGGAAGCTCACATTCTTCAATGCGCTTTATAAGAAATACAAAAATATTTGTTGGAATAGAAAGGAATATAGAGATGACAGAAATATTTACGACATACACAACTGTGTGAGTGCACAATCAGTTTCGTTGAACTGTTAAGAAGTTCTCCATGATATCTCTAGAAGCTAAATGAAACTCTCAAAGTAGACGTTAGATCGGTCGAAAGAGGTCGCAAAGCCGTCCCTACGTTTCGTACGCAGTGAATTGCAATTCATACGAAGATTACTTGCTTAGAAACAAGTGAATCGGATTGAAATTACTGAAAGGTACCGGTGCCGATCAATAGATCTTCTGGAATGAAACAACGTTCATATTTCGCCGTGTACTATGTTTCTGTAACAGACGACACGATGAATGAATCACCTGATGCTCACTGACCTTCAACTCTCAGATAGAAGGAAAAACGCCGATGATCGCTCTCTGCGTGGGGTAGTTACCAACACTTACAGTATTTCTCTATTTCTCAAATAACTTCATACTACACTAAAGTCATGTCTACATTATTCCTTTACTCTTTCAATTTTTTCTTGTCCATTTCAATATTTTTTGATCTCTAAAACACTCCGTACTTTACTTGGATACTTGAATACTTGGATGGCCCGTCTTCACAGGCTGTGCGGATCCCAGTATCATTTCCATTCTCCGTACATACACTGGTTTACTCATCGTAGTTCCCTGGAGTCTCGAGATCGGCCCATCCAAAGTCTACCCTGGGTCTTCACCACCACAAGCACTCACCGCCCTTGTGGATCAGAGGGATATTTACCACCTTGTGACTAATTTGATACCAGGACGATGGCGGATCCTGGTATTGGTTTCTTCATATTGCTTTCGTTAACTATGTAAAAAGCTGTTTCAAAAATAGTCTATTTGAAGAGAACATCCCAAATTATTCCTAAATATCAGTAAGTTCTGTGGAACTCTTCAAGGTAGTCAGAGGAGATTTTCAAAAAATGAGATATTCACAAAAAGCTGAAGCTTCATACTAATGTAGTGAATCGGTGAAGGTGAAATGAAACAGTCCACCTTGACATTTTACGGCTTCCCTTGAACGCAAAAATTTCACCAATATCTACTAATGCAGTCTAAGGCTTCCTACTAGTAATCAGTTAAAGATTGAAGCTGTAACTCAGTAGCCGTTCATGTTTTCGTGGTCCATATGCATATTTTTATTGCTGTTACTACTACTGCTTGTCTAATTATCCAACTTGTTATTCCCTAATTGTCGCGTTTTTTGTGAACTTTGTTCGGTATTGTGGCTGGTCGCACCAATCTTCCATAGTGCTGGACAACTGAGGTGTATTCACTGGAACTCACGGATTCAATGAAGCGACTATTCCTTTGAAGGACACGTCCCTTGTTACGGAGACCACGAAATCAACAACTGAAATCATAGAAAACAACTGATTCCACATTTTAAAAAAAGCGTTGGGAATTGGTACTATTTCTTCAAACAGGTGTGGGTTCGTGTAGCGCAGTGATCGGAGGTGCCCTGCAATAGTGGCATCGATCCCCGCGTCTCATGCTCACCAAGCCCACCATCCCCGCGGGGTCGGCAAATTGGTACCAGACTTGTCTGCGAGGAGAGCAGCACTAGGTTGACGCATCGGTAGGCCATCGCGAGTCATTGTAAAGGCCAGATATGCATTCAATCACCTCCAGCCATGCTTAGTGAAGCGGGACGCACGGCGCATTCCTCAGGAATTGAACAACGCCGAGAGCTTCATCGTTTTAGCTCTTTATCTGACGTTAGTGCAACATCCCGCAAGTTGAAAACGACGCAGTACAAACCGATGGTTGGCATCACCACCTTTTGGAAGTCTTGTTTTAGCCACATTTGCCAAAAAGTGAGTGATTTGAGTTACCTAATTCGTACACGGATTATACAAAGCTGATTGTCAACACTATGTTTGCGATCTAGACTCAGGTAGAATAAAAAGTAAACGATAAGGCATCCCGCATGTTAGAATTGTGATTATAACTGCGGCCTCAGCTTAACTGGGTTCGTTGCCGATTTAGGCCCCCCAGATCAATCCCGCTGACGGGTGATTGCTGATGGCAAAAGATCGATAAAACTAGCCGGGAGACAGGCGAAACGAAGGACCCACGTGGTGTGGTGGTGAACGCGCTACTCCCTGAAAAGGACAATAGCGCGTTCGTTCCCCACCGCATACACTTGCGGTCCAGAGTTTTGCAAATATCTCAGAATCATTGAAGTTATATTTCACAATGTATACCCTGCCGTTAGAAAGAGTAGGCAGTAAATAATAAGTTAAAATTGTGATTATAAACGATATCGGCGTTGATCAATCCCTGAGGGCTGAACCATTTATTCGATTTCATCAAGCATTGTTAAAGATGAATAAATGGGTATCTTGCCTATACAATGGTTCACGGTGGCCTACCGATGTATCAAATCAGTGTTGTTATCCTCCCAGACAACTCTGGAACCGGTTTGCTGACTCCTGAGAGATGGAAAGCTTGGTGAGCTTCGGGACGTGGACAGAACCAAAGACAACGTGTGTGCACCGTTTTATTGTTCAGAAATCGCGAGGTTGTTATACAGAACACATTTGCTTCCATACAAAAACACACAATGCAAGCTGACGTTTCGGCCGTACCGCCCTCCTCAGAGCCTGGAAGGGTATGATGACATGCAAGTTAGCAGGCGAAACGCTTCAGTAACACATACAAAAAGACGAAAATCTCTATAGCAATTACATGACCAACAGCTTCTCGAAAAACCCACTGCTTTCAACGTGACTTCCAATGAGGAAGATTAGAAGAGCTGATTGTTGTCGGATATGGCTGATGACTGAACCATCCCACATCAGAAATTCATGCGAACATACAGGGTCAAGTCGCGTGCGACCTTTGGGCATTCCACCCTGCTATTCATTGTAGGGTTTTGGCATTTATCCAAAAAGCCTGGAGGAGTTTGCGCGTTAGTGCTCTAGGATTCCGTGCAAGGATAGCGACTTTTACCTCAGAATCGTCTCCGGTATGCTTTCGTGTCTTATGCGTTTTTAGTGGCGTACCTTGTTCTACTTTTTGTTTATCATCTAGGTGTTCTTCCATGCAGATACATAAAGGTCTGCCCGTTTCGCCAACATATTCGCCTCCGCAAGCACTAGAAGAAATCAGGTATATCGTGCCTGATATCATGCAGTCACCGTCGCTACCGCAAGGGCAAATCACGCAGTTTGGTGTTTCACATAGACGGTCATACAGGCGGTTACGGATTAACTGACGACGTAGAGTATCCGGTGGTGTTTCAACTATCGCTACCGATTCCTCCAAATCTGTCCTTCTTCAGCATCGCTTTATCGTTACGCTTATTTCATCGGTAATAAAGGGCAAGATGAACGGGATTTTGTTTCTGCCCGCGGGGTTACTATTTCGTAGCCACTGGCGATGGCTGTTTGCCAAGCTAAGTCGCGCGATTCTTCTAGCTCTCTCTTTGCGCACATAGAGGTCGCTGTTCGAAGCATGTCCCTCACAATCGCCCTCTTAGGCACACTTGATATTTGACGGAGACGATTTAAGGAAGCTTTTGTTTCTACAGCGTAATGCCCCGGCAGAAGAGCTGCGACTGCATTTGGTAATGACGACCTGGGGCAGAGTTTGGCTACACTGATCGCGGGATTCCAGGGAAACACAAGCTATACCAGCAAAACTCCGAAAAATGGAGATTATGCTGAGGTCCGCACTACCAGTGACGACGGGCCGTCTAAGTATCCAAGCAAATATATCCCTTCTGAAATGCTCAAGGGCATCAGCTTGAACACAAGGAAAGAAACATAAGTCCAGGCAAGAACTTTTTTTATAGGAGTTGTACACAGATAGGAACTGTATACATTTGATAATACCAGGATATGAACGACACATTAAGAGTAGCCATAAACGACACAGTTTCTTCAGAGCTGTTTCATTTAAGCGTACGCGTGTCGGTATGGGTACAAAGTAACCGGAAACGTAACAGCCATATCGGCTCCTCAAGGGCCATCCTACTCTTGACTACCCAGCAACTCGACGAAAGATGTAAGGTGTCGTCCGCAATCGCAGCAAAAACATCGAGATGTACGACGCTTTTCCGAGCACATCAGCACTCTACGGGGTTGTGTCCAAGCTCTAGTGGTACTGGCCTCGGTTTGGACACGTGTTTGTTTCTTTTATCTCGTCTGTTTTGAAGTTGTTTTCTTTCTAGTAGGTGTATTTTTTCTGTGATAATGTCGGAGCAGTTGAAAGCGCAGTTTGAACAGGCTTTGCAGAAGTACAAGGAAATAGAAAGCGGTGAGTGGTTCGGCGCTGTTCAGTTCGTTCTGTTATTTTTACCCAAATGTTTAGATCGTGAGAAATACATTAGTGATCGACAACAGCTCGAAAGTCAGTTGACAGAAAACACACTGGTTAAATCAGTGAGTTCATTTTTGCCTTCCCTCTTTGTTTACAAGTTTCTCTTGCATAGCTACCGTACTCAGTTATTAAAAAATCGGTTGTCTGATGGACGTCCATTTCATTCAGATCTAGTATCTGTAATAATAAGGACGCGTGTGACGCAGTGGTTGGAGGCGCCGCTGCGATGCACACGTGGAATCGATCCCCGCGCCCATGGCCCACCAAGCCTTCCATCCGTCCGGGGTCGGCAAATTGCTACCAGACTCGTCTGGGATGATAGCAGCACTGGCTCGATACATCGGTAGGGGACCACGAGTCACTGTAAAGGCTAAATATGCATTCACTCACCTCCGACGATGCTTAATGAAATCGAATGCGTGGCGCATCCCTAAGGGATTGATCAACGTCGGGAGCTTTAGCTTTTTACCTGAAATAATATTTAGTAACATATGGTTATGGTTTTTTCTCTTTAGGAATTCGACTACCTAGATGAGGATGCGAAAGTTTATAAGTTGATTGGAGCATGCTTAATACGACAGGATATAGCCGAGGCTCGGGTAAACGTCGAAAAGCGACTAGAATACATCACGGCTGAGATGTAAGTTTGACAGTTGTACTTGGTTTAATACAGTAGAATCCAATGATAACCTACTGTTTAACCCGATAATACCAAATGATTAATTTACTGATAGTGGTCAATTAGGCGATAACTTTAAGGAGTCTGCGGGATATTTCTCTTTTTTTTCTTGAAAACAGTACTGCAGTGTAACTGTTCCTCTCTTCCGGTGTATGTCGATCGTTGTGTAAAGCCTGAAGAAATTGAACTGTGAGTTTATGACAATATTTCCATGCTGATTTCGAACCCTTTTTTCTGAATCATTCCGATGAGAGATGAAAGATCGAAAGCTGTTTCATGGAACAAGATGTTCCATTTGTAGGAAGTTATGTGGATTGTGGTAAATCAGTTGTTCCATGTGGAAGAAGTTCTTACAAATTACTTAAAATCGAGGGAAAGCGGTGGTATCGACCAGTTAGTTTCTTCGATTTGTGAAAATGCGATAACTCACATTTGACGTTCTGCAGTTATGAGTCCACTTTCTGGTCGTGAAATTCGATGCAATAGGAGATTAATATCGTTCAAATAGACAAGTAAAGCGCAGTGGTCGGAGGCGCCCTGCAATACACATGGGATCGAGCCCTGCGTCCGTAGCTCACAAAGCCTTCCATCCCTTCGGGATTAGGAAATTGGTACTGGACTGGTCTGCGAGGAGAGCAGCACTAGGTTGATACATCGGTGGGCCACCGCGAGTCATTGTATGGGCCAGATATGCATTCAATCACCTCCAACGATGCTTAATCAAGTCGAAAGCATGGCGCATCGGTCAGAGATTGATTGATCAACACCGAGAACTTTATCATTCATTTATCCTTTGCATCTTCTCAGATGTTCATTCTTCTTCGTTTACTTGATGAGATGGCGTGGTGTGTTGCGATGTTAGCATAGCTAGATTTTCTTAGTGTAGGTAGTTTTTCCTATCTAAGATTTCTTTAGGCTTTTCCTTATTTCCACTGTTGTTCTTTTTTATATTTGGTTGAGTGTTCCAATTCGAAGCAATTCAGGTTTCATGAAGTTTTGTCCAAAAATCTTTGTCTTAACCGTTTCCTATCTAAAGCTTCGTTCAGAAAGCGAGTAGATGACAACCTTTCCGATTGCAAGGAGAAAGCGGAAGCCCAAAAAGCGAAGCTACTTGAGTTGCAGCAAAAGTTCAACACTGCAAAGTAACCGGTGTTATTCAGTGATAAATAATCTGCCTGCTCTATAATTGGTTTGCATGTTCCTATTATGAATGCCTCAGGTCTTCTCCGTAAGAGATCAACCCCTCAAAATCACCATTTTCTTTGTTTTAACATGTCTTCTTGCTTTGCTTTGTTGTGTCTGATGTTGCTGTCGTGTTCATAGTTCATAAGTAATGAGAATTCACTTCTTCGAAAGGCTGCAGAACTCTAGATCTTTGTGTGCCTCTCAGCTCTGAAAGCGGTTCAGCGAAGTGGTAACGTGGTTGTTGGGAAGTGAAAGCTAGTTTGCTAGTGAAATGGCAGGCTTTAACCGAGTGTTTTTGGAATTATTAAACCTTCTTTATAGGTCTTCGAATGAACAGGTAAACTTTTGCAACTGTACAGCAGAATTGGATTGTTTTGTGTCTCCACATTGTCTAATAATCGTTTTGTACCGCATTCCTAGTTCAAATTATTCGAGTCAGGCATGTAACGTTCAGAAAAGGTCTTTTAGCAGATTTTACAAATTCATGACCGTGCTGTTTTTCGCTAGCAGAGCGGTGTCTAGCCGAAGCTATACTTGAGGGGCTTGGTACTTAACGAACTTATAGAATCGATTTCATCTGTGGCTGTAATGGTGTTTGTAATTTTCCAAAATATTATTTTTTGTTTTGGAATTCCATGAAACTCGAGTCTGAGTAACTTCGTTATAATAAATTGTTTTTTAAAATTTTCACGGAAAGAACCCACTACTCAACACTGACGGCGGGTTAAGCTAAAGTAGTAGTCGTCCAGTTGCTTTGCTTTCCATTTTAAGAGCCTTGGCCAAGGAAATCGAAAGGGAAAAAAACGGCTTGTGTGTTTCATGAAGGGAAGGAAACAGTAGATCATACTTGTTAGTAACAATTTTTAGGTTCCAGTGGTTTTTATAGCGCAGTTATAGTAATGCCGACCATCAGGACCACGGTGCTGGTTCGATCCCGCACCGAGCTCGCTAAATCCATCTTCCGGGATCTGGGATCTGATACTAGACCTCTGGAAAGCGTTCGCTTTCCGCAGCAGAAGTGGGAACGCGCGATGCCAGCTATCCCAAGACCTCAGGAAGAATTCACTTGACCACTATTCAACGATATTCAGAAAGAAGACGCCGATCCTCAGGCAGCACCCGAATCCATATGGGAAGTATTCGCGAAGTTTTTTGAGAACGACGGATAGTAGGAAACGATTCGAAGCTATAAGTGCTAGTATTCGCACATTAGATGTGGAGACGGGTCGTATAAAAAAATGGTTCCTATTTCTATTAATCAAATTAGTTTCTTCGTTTCCGTGTAACCTGAGAATTATTAGTAGTATCGGTTACTTCTTCCATCTGGTGTTGGGACTATTTTTCAAATTGTGTGATTGGTTTCGGTATACTACTACTGAGCAGAGCGATTGGTAATTATGAGTGCTTGGATAGTGCTGTTCTGTGCAAAGTCGAGGGTCCGTAAAAGTTGGGAGGAAAAGTGGGGACGTGTTTTCGTGGCCCGGGATGCTGCCGGTTGTCATTTCCGGTAACATACGAAGAGCCTCGAATTGATCTCGCGCAGTATGTCACATCAAGACAGTTTGTCAGGATGAGGTGTCTAGCGCTTTCGTGAGATCGAACCAACCGTGTAATGCTACAACCGGCGCCCACTACCTGTGCACCAGGCGCGCTATGACGCGTGCACAGCGCGCACTATAAGTGATCATTGTACTCAACTATATAATTTTTCTCGGCCGTTCTACGTCTTCGTTTTTCGCATTTCTGTATATCCCATTTTAACGTAGTTCTATTTGTGTCGTTTTCTTGTTCAGCAATCGCGAGGTTTTTAAACAGCATACATTTACTTCCATAGAGAAACACAATACAATACAACGCTAGCTGACGTTTCGGCAGTATCGCCTTCTTCAGAGCCTGGAAGGGTATTCTGATATACAATCTACTAGGCCAAACGCTTCAATAACACTTACACAAAGACGAAAGACTCTTTGGTAATTACATTTTTTTTTTTTCGAAAAACCCACCGCTTTTTCGTGACTTCCAATGAGGAAGTTTAGAACAGCTGATTATAGTCGCATGTGGTTGACGACTGCACCATCCCACATCAAAAATCGCTGCGAACGTACGGGATCAGGTCGCGTATGACCTCCGGGCATTCGTCCCTGCTATTCATTGTAGGGTTTTTGGCATTGATCCAAAAAGCCTCTAGGAGTTTTCGCGCTGGTGTTTTGGACTCCTGTGCAAGGATATTGACTTTTACTTCAAAATTGTCTCCGCTATGCTTTTGTATCCTATGCGTGCCTAGTGGGGTGCTTCGTCTTAGTTTTCGTTTGCCATCTAGGTGTTCTTTTATACGGATACACAAAGGTCTGCCCGTTTCGCCAATATATTCATCTCCGCAATTATTACAAGAGATCAGGTATATCGTACCTGAACTCATGCAATCACCGTCCCTGCCGTAAGGGCAAATTACGCAATTTGTTGTTTCACACAGACGGTCATACAGGCGGTTGCGAACTAATTGGCGACGTAGAGTAGTCGGCGGTATTTCAACTATCGCTACCGATTCCTCTAGACCTGCCCTTCTTAAGCATCGTTTTATAGCTGCGCTTACTTCATCGCTTATAAAAGGCAACATAAACGGGATTTTGTTTTGGCCAAGCGTTTCGCGTGGGCGCGTCGTTCTCCTTGTAAACTTATCTCGTGGGGTTACTATTTCGTAGCCATTAGAGAAAAAAAAAAAAAAAGCCAAGTCGCGCGATTCTTCCTTTAGTTCCCTGCTAGTGCACACAGAGGTGGCTGTTCGAAACATGTTTCTCACAATCGCCCTCTTTGTGTGTGAAGGGTGGGAAGAAAGGAAATGAACAAGGATGTTCTTGTTACTTGGCTTTCGATACCACTTTGTCAGGTAACCGCTACTTGATAGGTTTATTTGGACGTCCAAAAACGGAAGCCAGTTTTCTCTCGGTTTCTCCCGGGTGTACTTTATGTACTCGGACCGTAATTCTATTCATTATTAGAGTTGCAAAAGAAGTTGATTTTCGGTTGGCCTCTCCTCTTTCTAATTCTGACTTCACTTTTTAAACGACGATAAGGAAAAACTTGCAGAATTCCGATGTAGAATAATTCTTACTTACTTTGGTACTTGGACGGCCTGTCATCACTAGTTGTGTTTTGCAGGCTCCACCATAATCACCATTTTTCGGAGATTTTCTGGTTAAGCCATTGTGGTTCCCTTGAGTCCTGACGTCAGCCTGGCCAAAGTCTGTCCCAGGTCTTCACCACCACAGGTAGTCGCAGCCCTTGTGGATCAGAGGGAGATTTACCGCCATGCAACTTTGATACCAAGACGGTGGTCGATCCTAGCATTGGTTTACTCTTAGCTAGGCTTCTTGATGGAAAAGTCGGACTCGTTCTCAGCGTGGGAGACCCTACCGGGGATGAATCTCAATCTTACACCTCACCCACTTGTACATCGCAGTCCGACGCCCAGGAACACCTCCTAGCTACGATGAGGCGGTAAACCGTTGGGAGGCACCTAGAAATATAGGCACTGAATTGCGAAAACATTCTAATATTACCATGTGGGCTTTCCGGAGATGGTGCATGATAACACCCTCCCACACCGCTTTCACCGCTCTTAGGACAACGTTAGGGCATCCTTAACGATAAAGAGACGCACAAAGCTGATTCATAGGCGATTCGAATGACTCCCACTCCTGCTTAATCGCAGCTCCTACGAGCCACGTTCCTCACATTAACAGCGGTCGCTTGCTTGCGAGCCAAGTGGAGTTCCATGCGCTTCCGGGTTTGTAGAATAATTCACCTTTCGTAATGGTTACCACGGCTATGAAGGAGCTCTGTTTGTTCAGCACACGGAATAAATCAGAAGGTTAGGCAGAAAATATTGGGTCTCGTTCGATTGTTTGTGTTTCCATGATAGCTTTGAAAGTAGCAAAGAACAGCATGTGAGTAACATTGAAGACGTTTCTCTATAGTAAGGAGCCTGGAAACGTATTACTGCCTCGCATGCTTCACAATCGTAGAACGAGTTAACCAAAGGAATCACCTGAATTTCGTTCTTCGCATCTAGATGAGCTTTTCCGGCTCTGATCCACGTCTATTTTGGGACAACGA